AATAATACTAATGAAATTATTAGGTAACAAATAAATAATACAAACAAATAATAATAATGAAATTAGGTCACAAATAAATAATACAAACAAATAATAATAATGAAATTAGGTAACAAATAAATAATACAAACAAATAATTATAATCAAATTAGGTAACAAAATAATAATACAAACAAATAATTATAATATATTCTTACCTCATCCGCATAATTTGCCCCACTTCGAACATTACTACTAGCTTGTGTCAAGGCATCTCTCCACGTACTAAAGGAATGACAAAGTATTTTCCAACGACTGGACATCGATTCTTTGGTTCTTTTTCCACCTATTTGCTCAAGAAATTTGGTATGAATTAAACTTCACATTTCTCGCAACTGCATTTCATTACCCGTAAGGGAATTATGAGTAACTTCAACCGAGCTAGTGCACAACGCAACATCTTCAAGAAGCGACCAATTCGTACCTGCATCAGTAGTCATTCTGTGGAAAACAATTGGATTAAAACTTTGAGAGAAAGATAGGAATTTGATTGAAAGTAGTTGAGAAAATATGAAAATATGGTGTAAGGTAGATGGAGAAGAAGTGGTATTTATAGAAAAGTAAAAAAAAAATTTTACAAATTTTTTTTCAGATTTTTTACAATTTTTTCGGATTTTTTACAATTTTTTTTAATTTTTATTCAAATAATTAATCTCTGCCGTTGGATTTTAAAAATTTTGAATTCCAACACTCCAGATTGTGCCACGTGTCACAACGGTAACTTTTCTTAATTTTAAAACTATTTTTTTTAATTTATAAAGCAGATTAATATCAACCGTTGATCTCAGATCGAACGGTTGATATAAAATCAGCTTTTTTTTTATTACAGTTGCAAATCGGACGGCTTGTATTAAAGAGCCGTTGGAATCGAACGGACCGTGGAAAGCCACGTGGCTTCCCAATGGTCACTGGGTTTTCTGCCTCGCGCGGTCTCGTGCCCTGAAATCCGGTCAGGCGACGCGCCCCCACTCGCGAGTGAGGGGCACGCGCCTGACACAAAAAAAAATTAAAAAAAAAGGCCGGACCCAGGCTTGACATCATGGGCTTCGGGCCACAGGCCTGTCGATTCCCCACCCCCTCGGCCCTCGGGCTCCCACCCTCACTCGGGCTCTCCAAGGCTAAAGGCCTACCAACCGGCCCTCGGGCCCTTTCCTGGAGCCTGTCCCCCGAGCAACCACCATGGGTGGACTTGCTCTTAGGGTAACGGAGGGTAATCTTGGGGTTTAAAAATTCAAGTGAGGGTGTAATTGGCATAAGGTTTCCATTCCGAATTCTTCACATCCTCATAATTTGGATTACCACTTGTATCTACGGAGATTTTATTTTTAGGAAAACTAATGAAAAATGTTTGAAAACTTTGAGTTTTAATGATAAAGACAAAATAAAAGGTAAAGTGAATAGTAGCAGGTTTGACTTTTTAGTGTAAAAATGTGGTTTTTCATTAAAATGAACAGTACTGTGGGCTTTTCGTTAAAACTCCCTTTTTTTTTTGTCATACTTGTATCTAGGGAGTTGAATTCCTCCAAAATGAGGAATCCAATTCCAAAATTCATATGGGTCCGACCACATTTTTGATTCCCTAATATTTAGTAAACACAAGAATACTATGGAAATGGAATTCAATTCCTTATTTTTTTATTTCGATTACGGTTACGGTTACGTAAACATGCCCTAAGAGAAACTGAGAGAAAGAGAAACGGAAAAGAAGAGGGTAGAGGTTTCTAGAGAAATGGGGACCTGTCCTTGGGTTCCACGTGGTATACCCACTAACGCCACATGAGCTAAATAAATGGTAAATGACCAAAATACCCTCGGTGATCAAGCTTCATAGACTCTTCGTTACAAATTCAAATTACGTTCCACTTATGCCCACACATTCATATCAACATGTAATATCCAAATATGTCAAGAAATGAGGAAAGGATCAAGTATGACCACGTAGAATTCTGCGTAGCCCAAAATGGCCATTTTCATCAATTAATAAATTTAGATAAAGAAAAATTTACACAATTTAAATGCGTTGTAACAATTATGAGATAAGAAATACAAAATTTAAATAGTAAAATCCAAGGACAATATTTCACATCACCCAACTCAAAAAGACATAGGCTCTACTCCGTTGAGAGTCCGTACAACGACCCTATACTTGGGGATGTTTTTGGTACTTCAGGACTCCATTTTTGGTCATTAGAAGATGCTTAACCATGTATAATGTTTATACAATGGCAGGGACAAGTTTAGAGACAACTCTGGAGAAAACTAATATGTTATATATATAACACTGGAAACATTTGAATTTGTTTGCTAGAATTATTAAGTCTAATGGATTAGTTGTATCAGCTTCTAAGATTAAACTGTTTCAGACCATCTCACTGAACAATCCAGAAATGAAATTTTAAATGCTGTTAAAAAAGATGAAGAAGGAATCCCAATTTTTGATGAACACATTGGACAAGGCGTCCCTGACGCAATCAACACACTTCTTTTCACAATCATAGAACATTTTATAGGAACACCTAGTAATGTCACCTCTAGGATCCATGATCAACTCAGCAATCTGAGATATCCAACTCTAAGCGACTTTAGATGGTATAAAGATGTATTCATGTCTAGAGTCATGCTCAGAGAAGACAGTAATCAACAATTTTGGAAAGAAAAATTTATAAATGGATTACCAAATCTTTTTGCACATAAAATCAGAAACGTTTTAGTAAATGAAGACGGTATCATACCATATCATACCCTTACTTATGGAAATATAATAAATATTATCCAGAATGAAGGATTGAAAATGTGTATCGATATGAAAATTTCAAAACAAGTTAATAAATATAAATCCATTGCTAAGTATGAGTTAGGAACGTTCTGTGAACAATATGGATTACCTCCTATTGCTCATTCCAACAAAAAGAAAAGGTCAAATACCTACAATAGGTATCCAACCAAATACTCCAAAAGACATTCTAAATACAACAAATATAAAAACAAGGATTTTCAAAAAAATGAATTCTATGAAAAACCTAAGCATTCAACATGGAAGAAGAAATCTTCCAAGAAATTTCCAAAAGACCAAACCCAGAAGGGCAAATGCTACAAGTGTGGCAAATTTGGCCATTATGCCAACAAATGTAGAGTAAAGAAAACTGTCAATCATTTGAAGATCTCAGAGGAAGAGAAACTTCAGCTAATCCAAGTTTTGGAATTAAAAGACACAGACCATAGTCCATCAGAAGATGATTTGGAATTATCTTATTCTGGTAATAATTCATCGAGCAATAGCTCATCTCCAGATATCAAAATAGGATGTGTAGATTCTTGTTGCAATAACAGAGTCTCAGTCTTTAACAAACAAGAAGAACAAGAAGATTTTCTACTTGAACTAATAAGTAAAGTCGATGACCCAGAACTTAAGTCTTTTTATCTCAAGAAGCTAAAGAAATTAGTTTCTTCTGAACCAGGCACTAGTCAAATCCATTATGCTCCAAAAATCTCTCTTAGCATAACCTTGGAAAGGTTTAATAAAACTAAGAATGAAATTACCATCAAAGATCTCCAGCAAGACTCTGGTGGTAATCCTATTGTGGTGTACCTTAAAAGGATATATGAGTGCTAAAAAATGGAGACCTAATATGACTGGGTTAGAAATATTTTTTATTAAAACAAATGGGGTTTTGAAACAAATATTGTTTTGGCAAACATGCGCTTTTGGTATTTCATATTTTAAATGCATTGGTGACTGGTTTGCAGCACTAAGTATTTCCGTAGACTTATGAAAATTCTTGGTAGGTATTAACCCTTCTTGAATACAATTCAAGTCTGCGCCCAAGTCAATTAAAGCTATGGTTTCTAAATGAAAATCTTCAATTATTATTTTGATTTTAGAATACTATTTTTGGATTCTTATCTTATCTAAAAGACTTAAGACTAGATTCTCAGTAGATTGAGAACCCGAATCTGAACTAGATGAAGAACTTGCAAGCTCTTCTTCACGAGGGTTTACTAACAAATATATATATATATATAACGTATTAGTTTTCTAATTGCAAATTAGAGAAAATTGTAGAAATGATGTCTCAACTTTGACCAATTAGAGCAATGATCCTTCAACTAAAATCCATAACCATTGGTCTCTAAACTCATCAAAATGTGCAGATGTGGTCATTTTCATCAACTTCATTAGAATTCTATCAAAATTAGCTATGTTGGAAGGACTATTGCAACAATTTGGTTAAAGTTGAGGACCATTGCTCTAATTGGGTTAAAAGTTGAGGGATCATTGCTACAATTTTTCTCATTTGGTTTTCCATATTTGCCCCTTAATTCAAACTCACATACATGACACGTGACTCATTTTGACATAAGTTCTAATGGAGTTGACGAAAAAGACCATAACTGAATGTTTTGATAAGTTAACCGATCAATAGTCACATGTTTTAAGTTGAGAGACTATTATTCCAATTAAATTAAAATTAAAAGACCATTACTAAAAATTTTCTCTGCAAATAATTCTTCTTTTGGAAAATAATATTAGTCTATGGTCATTTGCTAACATTTCGAATTCTACATCATTTCAAGAAAGAAGAAAGGGAGAAATCGTGGCAGGGAGATTTTTGTTTTAAAAAGTTTGCCTTACAAAAGTTGAAAGTTGGGTGTAAATAGATAATTTATGGGTTTAAATAAAATTTATCGTACCATATCTGTGATATCATGTCTTTCTATTTCAGCAACCAAAGTTTGAAATCCTTCTATTATAGCTAATTTCCGTAAAATTTTCACCATTTGGTTCAACAGCATCAAGACTCCAGTTTACTAGAGGAAGTCCTAAGTTCAATTGACAAAAACGAAGCAACGCTCACATTGGAAATTTTGAATTTTGACAGAATATCTACGATTACGAGACAAAAGCTCAGGGCCATAGAGGTAGATGAAGACTGAAAATAGACTCTAAAAAAAGACTTGGAGTACTTGGATCTAACGAAAAACTTGGCACAAAACGGAGCCTAATGACGTTCTAAGATTCATACAGCTGACCTCACTTAGTGAGATAAGACGCTGTTGTTGTACCTGTGTATAATACAAGTGCAAGAATATCTTGTTAATCTGTTCAGGCAGGAAGATGCATCATATGTATTAGTCTTTGAAGGCCAGAACAAATGGTTATGGGAAAACAAATTTTTATGCTATCTTCTCATCATCCCCTTGATTTGTCAAGTGTTCCTACTTTATTGTATACTCCTGTTCTGGTGTGAAATTATAATTCAGCAGGTCACTCTGAATGGTAAGTATCAGGTTACAGGCTGTGCGCCCGCCCATGGACGGTTGTCGTCTTCAAAATTCCGGTACTTCTGATTGCGGTTATCTTGATAATAGGCTACTCCAGTCCAGATCCCACGGATGAGTAAGATGCTTACGAACACTAGACTTCCAAGGGTGCAAACTACCTGGATTTAACACGCACACAATGAAAGTTCAAGATTTTATTAGGAAATCATTCAGGTAGCGCATAAAAATCATCACCAAAAACAAATATACTAATCTCCAATGCAAACACTAATATAAGTTTTTGATTGCTGTTTTTTAATGTAATTTTGAGTGCGACCTCACACGTGAGAGCCCTCAATAAGAACATCATCTATAACAACGCGGTGGTTTGAAAAGCTTATATGTAAACAACTATTGAAGTCCTAAATTTTCTCTCTATCTTGCCAGTTTAATAATTGTAAAATTTTCAATCCGTCGAAGGCCTTTCTAAACACTGAAAATTCAGTGCTTCACCAAAAGATCAAGCTTTTGAAACAAGCATTGTTGTAGAGCTTATTCTCAGAAAATGCAGAGTAAGAAACTGCAGTCTGCAGCTCGGGCTACTTTGATTAAGTGGGAATGTTGGTATGCCCATGAATTGCGGGCCGCTCTCCCTATGACACCTTGCCTACTGAGTTTTCCTTTCAGATGAATCAGTATTGACAAAGAGAGCCAATCTTCGCATCTGAAACTGAGCTTTCAACTAAGGTCCTAAATCACCTAAGCTGTTCAATTATTATCATGTATGTTGCAAAGCTACCATCCAATGAACAGAAATAGCGGAGATAACGACTTAACTTATTTATATCCTTTTTTCTTCTGTCCGTTACTAGTATGAATTTGATTTGATTTACATGAGATTTATTCATAGTTGGAAAGAATCATGACCTGTTCATGTCCAGCAACTCAACATACTTGTGGTCATTCATGCTATAAACAACGCCCCTTTTCTGAAACTGGCGTTGATGAAAAACCTCATGGGTAACATATACGCCTGTGTTTTCGAGTTTTGATACTTCATTCCCTTAAACTAACACCACAAGTTTCATAAACTGTTGATCAAAGCAAAAAAACATGCGTAATGCCACCAACCCTTTATGTAGAATGATCAATAAAACTAACACCACTTCATACCCCGGACTTGCGAACCTAAACATCCCGGGAAACTGCTAAAACAACCAGTAACAAGACTCTAGAACATGCAATTTATCTTCAATAACTCATATGGAAAATAAAACCAATAGGAGCATAATGATAACCAAATAGATGGAAGTTTGTATACACAAAAATAAAAATACACAAAAATATAATTACCTCAAGAAATGCCTTCAAGACCCACAAGAATGCTAGCATTAGCACTCCATTAACAGAAAATCCCACCTAAATATATAATTCAAGCCAAATTTTTTTTTTAACAAAATCAGGTGCAAAGATCCCATCTTTTCAGACAATAAAATCTGGGTAACAAAAATAAGTTAATGGAAGCCAAAATTATGATCGAATGATTACCAACTTGGTGGGAATTGAGACGGGGAGAACCGATCGGAGGGCCCTCCTGGCTCGCCTGGACACCTTTTTGAACACATTCTGAACAAATCTCACCAACAAATCCAAACTCCGGTCTTCTTCTTCATCGTCCTCGTCATCTTCGTCGTCGTCATCGTCGTCTTCGAAATCGTAGCGCCTATCGACGTCGGAGTTGATCGAACGGCCCCAATTGCGGGGGTCGTCGGCGAGACCATCGGCACTGCCGCCCTGTGAAATGAAGTCCGAAGGGTTAGTTGATTAGAGTTGCAGAGAGAGAGAGAGAGAGAGGAGTGGAAGAGATGGAGGACCTGAGGGTAATTTGGGGATCGTCTGGAGGCTTGGGGGCATTGAAATTGAAGTGTCAGTGTTTTGGGTTTGAGGTATGGATTGAGATTGTGAGGGAGATGGAGTTGTTGTTGGTGGTGTGCTTGGGGGAAATAAGAGAGTGAGGGGGAAGAGAGAGTCGCCGATAACGGCATGGCGGAGAAAGGAGGAGGAGGAGGAGCTGAAGGTCAAAAGGTAGTTGAGAGTTGCAGTGGCTGGTTAGTTAGAGATTGGTTGCACTGAAGGGGGAACACTCTAAACCCTATTTAGACTTGCAGGCCCTTTGTCACAGTGGTAGAGTGAAATGTTGCCCCACTACAGCGTGTATTTGAATTCGGTCGATTTTCTAATTTAATATCCTACTAACAAATCTATCATTTGATAAAATAAACACTATTTACCCTTCAAACAATAAAACTTATAAAGGCCACATTACCCTCCACTTGTAGGGAGGGGTGATTCAGTATGAAACCCAAACCGAAAATAGGATCCTAAATCTCAAACTAAAAATTTTCAGAATGAGAATTTGAAGACTAATCCAAACCAAAATTTCGGTATTCTCAATTTTCGAAAATCTCGAAATGTTTTCGGTATTTTGGGATGGATAGAGACTAGATTTTGGGTTTATAGGCTTTTGAGTTGAAATTTCAGATTTGTGGGCTATGGGCTAAAATTTGAGATTTTGGTCTAAAATTTTGTTGCTCAATTTCATATCAATTGAATTTTAGGTTTTTTACCACATGCCAATTTGAAATTTCATACCAATTGAAATACTAATTCATTCAGACCAAGTCCAATTGACGTTCCAATGTTCCAAACTACTTAATTTCATACTTTTATTTCTAATTTAGTCTACTATCAAATCATTTAAATTCAACATTCAACATACATGTTTCTCGAACCATTGAATATGAAATTCTGATTTTTGTACGAAAAGGTTCGAGATGGATCCTGAAAACTTCGATATTATTAGTTTGGAATTTTTTGATTTGGGGTTGGGAATATTTTGGTTTGGTCTGGGATTTTCGAGAAATTTTTTGGATGGTGATTTTGATATTAAATTATTACGGTTGGTTGATTGTGTAGTTTGTTTGAAGCACAACAGTTCATTCCTCAGAGTGGTGATATATCCACCCACCTAGGGTTGCGTAAACAGATCCTGAACCCACGGATCGGGGCGGGTCTGAGCAATTCAGGGGTACGGGGCTGGTCCAAAATTTATGTACACATAATGGGGCGGGGCAGGGGGCGAAGGAAATGGCGGGGCGGGGTGGGCGGACCCAAAAATTGTGGCCCGGGGGGGTCCCAATCCGGACCATAGCTAGCGTTAAATTAGATTGAATTTAACTCCACCGTTGGATTTCAGACTTACTCTTCTCCGTCATCTCTCTCACATTCATTCAAGCCTTACACATCACCACCAATTCATCGACTCAAGCCCTGGACTCAACTCCGCCTTCGTCTCCCTCTTTCTGGCGACTTGCGAGTTGCGACCACCATCACCACCATCGTCTCCTTCCTCTTTTGCTTTGGCTTTGCTGGATTTTGGGTCTCCTTGTAGGCAAAGATCGAGCTGGCTCAAATCTAATCCCCAAAGTCAGCATGGTTTTGTACCAGGTGATGCTGGATTGTATCGATGCCAAGAACTTGAGGTTGGTGAGCCCCCTGCTGGAATTTTGCTTCCAATTTTCAAAAAACACAAATTGGTTTTGATTTGGGTTTCTTGATGGTTTTATATGGGAATTTAATTTGGGTTTTTCTGGGTTTTTGAGGGGTTTGGGAAACTTTTGTGATATGGGTTTTGATTTGGGGTGATTTTTTAGGTGGGTTTTGCCATTGTTTGCATGTGTGCTTCAAAGTCAGAAAATTTTGTTCTTAATTCTGAAATTTGGATTTATGGGTTTTGTTACTTAATCAGAAGTAGGAAGTTCCATTTTCGGGTTCTAATTTGCGGCCTAGGATTGATCCGATTATGCACATTTACAGTGGTAGTGGCGGCATGGGGTTTGGACTCACCCCTCCGTCTAAATTTAGCAGTGGACACTTGCCCTCCAATGTCATACTGGTTCGAACAATTCCAGCTGTTAAGGATGGGAGTGGGTCTGCTTCTGATAATGACGGAACCATTGATTCAGAAGATGGAGTTTATGGAGGCAGGTACTCGCTGGATTTGTCACTGCAAGATGATAGGGTTCTAAGTGGTGCTGCTCATAAGTATGGGAAGCCGTCGCAAGGGCAGACCAATTATGGTAGTGATTCTACTTACTCAGACGTCAGTTCCTTGATGTACACTGTTGTGGGGAGACAGAAACCAGTGCAGTCTAGTTTCCAAACTCAAAATCCTTCTACCCAGCTCGCCCCGTTCCATTACATTTTAAAATGAGTACGGTCCGATTCCTTTAAATTTGGGCCCAACTTGGCCGTGCCCAGCCCTACACCCACCATTCTTATTTTCCCACAAACTTTTAATGAAATTTTTATGATAAATTTATTCATTTATAAAATGCTACGAAGACCTAAACAAAAAAAATAAAATAAAACAAAGGGTTTAAAAAATTTTATGCACTTTTGCTCACCCACACTAACTATAGGGTTTGCTCACCACCCCTTCCAATGATTGCCACGTGTAATCCACACTAACCCTAGTTAAGCTTATTTTTATTAATTTTTTCTACTAATTAATAGGAGAGAAAATCTTATTTTTACTCATTTGTTCAAAGAGAATAGAAAAATGACTTGTCTTCATTCTGCTTTTTCTTAAAATATTCAAGTAAACATTATGAGTCGTCTTTTTTGAGAACCTCGATGCGCTTTTTCATTGTCAAATTGTTACAATCATACGGAATAAAATTTAGTTTTTGAGATCCTCCTAAAAAGTATGAGAAGATTTGAGATGGTTGTAGTCTTGCAGAATGCATTTGATTTATCAATTTTTGCTTGAGAAGACTCTATTAATCATGTGACCTCAATAAATGGAATTTGATGCCGGGACAAGAACATGAATATGTTCAGCAACAAAGTTTGTCACAACAAACCTCCTTTCTAAATTAAGTTTGATTTCTAGCATTGTCTTGCAGCCACAACTTGTTTCTTCTCTTGTTTTTTTTTTTTTTTTTTTGGAGTTCTCTCTTTTTTTTTTAATCTTTTTTTAATTTTTAATTTTTATAAAAACCTTCACAAGAACAACAAAATTGTTTTTTCTTTAGTACACTGACCTGTCTTTATTCTCTATTTTCTCACCCTAAATCCAACACTTATACTGTGACAACCCGTCCCTAACTTTACGATTTTATTAATTTTAAATGAGTGAATTGAAGAAAATGCTGTTATTTCATTGACTGTTATTTCATGACGCGTACGAGCTATTATTTTACCGTATTTTCAAAGTACTCAATGTTAGGAACACGTGGGCGCAGATAAAATTGAATTGGGAGCTACGACGGAGATTTTACGAACTTACGAAGTACTAGGGCATTTTGGTAAATTCATTATTCTAGATAAACTACTCCCTTTGTTATTATAATGTTTTGTATTGGTTTTGAGACATTTGGGGCCCACACCCTATTCCTTCACCTCTCCCGAGTCCCCCTCCTCCTCGGGTCATTCTCCCATTTGTCAATCACTCACATAATCTCTATCTCTCTTTCATCTCTCCTGCACCCTCATCTCTCTCGTCCTCCTTCCCATGAACCACCGAGACACCACCCCCACACAAACATCTCGCCGCTCCGACAAGCTCCATCACCATTGCTAACTGGTTTGCTCCGACGAGATATGCGAGTTCTCAGCCCAAAAACTAAGACTTACACTATTAGTGGCCACTGCCACTGTTTATCTTCATTCTCCAATGAGTTTTTTGGATTTTTGACGACGGTAAGTTCCAAAAACCACCTCAAATTGTTGTGGATCGCGATGTGGTGTGTAATTCTAGTAATTTTATGGACTTTTGGTAATGTTTTGGCACAGAAACAACTCGGGTGTACTTTTCCAGATTTTTCGGCCACCTACGACCATGGTTGAGGAAACCAAAGGTACAATTCGGTTCCTTGTTCTTTGAGCTTCGATTTGATATATTGGAAGGCTATGTTTAGTGAAGAAATTAGGTGGGTGGAGCTGGACTTTACCTAAAGGTTGCAGCGGCAACCGGCCGAAGAAGAAGAAGGAGAAAAAAAAAGGGCCTTAAGCCCAAAATCCGGCCCAAACCTTTGGGCTATTGGCCCATGACCTAAGCCTATATTCGTGGGCCAAATCCGACACAGACCTATTTCTGAGTTGGGTTTGGAATATTCTCAAGAATATATTCTTGGAATATTCCTTATGTTGGCTTTTTTCAGAAACCATGCTAGGCTAATTTCGACGCTTTGAGTCTGTTTTTGGCATGCATTTAGTGAAATTTCAAAGTTTTAAAGTAGTTGACCACCGGGACGGCTCGTTGACTTTTTAGGGTTGACCGTTGACTTTTGGTAAAATTTGTCGAGGACCCTTCTTACCGTATTTCGACGCCCTGATTCAAAATCCGCACTCCGTTCCCCAAATTTAATTTTCTTAGTGGAGTTTTACTAATAGGTCCTAATATTATGCTTAGGTGCGATTATTATCGGTGACTCTAGCTTTCTTAGTTCGAACGGTTTCGACCCAATGACATGATTTGTGAGTGGGTATTTTCTTTATATATATATATATATATATATTGGTTAGTTTCAATATATACAATTATTAATAAATTCTCTACGTGATTGCAATGATTAAATTAACATTTATAAGAAATGACTTATTGTTGGAAAGTATGAAATAATCCTACGGGATGCTAAGGTAAGCTTACTATAAGGGGATGCCTTAATTATATTTATGTTCATGAATAATGTGATGTTGACTAGAGTTGTCGAGTCACTGTGGCATGACTACATTTATGCTATCTGCTAATCGTTTGCTGCACTGGTGTTAGTACGCTCAGACTAGGGCCATGCTTTCACATGTATGTGCACATCGCACTGTACGCTCACTTTGGATCCATTGTAGGTGCCAATCTTGTTGTACAGGTTGCAATAGGCAACTTCGACTCGTATGTGCTACGCATAGCGTCAGTCTTCATGTGAATGTAATACTAGAGTGTATATCATTGTTACCCCCAATCATGTTCAAGTCAGAATACCTTTGCATGAACTCGTGTGTTAGCAATATGTCGATGAGCACTCGTTATGATATATTTGCTATTGGGAGATTATATGATTTACGGACGTCATGCACTTATTTATGAAATGTTGTGTTGTATTGAATTCTTGAGATTTTGCAGGCTACGGTAGGTATTTTATTACTATACGTAGTATGTATATTTTGGAAACTATACTTGTTTTACGGTAAGGGGTTATAAAATTTTCAGAAAGGTTTTTATAAAACTTTATTTTCAGGCCCCACTCACCCTTGTTTTTCGCCCCTCCAGGTTTTAGCAGCTGTACTTTCGTATCGACGAAGATTCTTGGCAAATCTTGGTATAAGTGGTTACCTTCGTTGGTACGATTCTTATCCTACCTTACTGTACTTTACTTATGCTCTGACATCACGTGTGAAATGGGTTCATTCCCACTCACAAGTGCACTCTTGCATTTAGGTGCTTTTAGGTTTAAATTTATCCATATTTTCCACATCACTACACTTTATGGCTTCGTCACCCTCTGGGTGTTGGCCAACACAGCTCGATTCGGAGTCCAAGTGGACATTCCGGGTCGGGGTGTGTCATCTATCATATGCATTGTAGTAATATATGCATCATTCTCATTATCAAAAGTCATCTCCAACGAAAATATCACCAACATTGCTTGTAAATTCTTCTTTTTCTTCATTTTGACCCAAGACTTCAAAGGTTTCGGAATCTGAATCCTAGTGTATACAATCAACTGGTTCTTTGGCATCACTGGAAGATGGAGTATGAAACTCATCATCTTGGTATTCCATCTGTATAAGCATCAAATTAGTTAATATTGAATTAAATTGAATAATAATCCTAAAAAGCATATATATTGACACCCTATAATAATCCTAAAAAGCAAATAAAAGGGAGCTGCATACCTTTTTGCGGTCGAGGAAAAATAGCAAGTCTATCAATCTGTTGGCGTAAGTTTCGATAAGAAGAATGAAAAACTCAAAAGATGCGTGCACAGTTGTAGATAATATCTTTTATTCAAAAAAAAAAAAAAAAAAAAAGAAGATGCATGCACAATTGTCTGTTTGTATTAAAAAATAATAGTTTTAAGTTTGGCAAAATATAAGAAGAAGAAAGAATAAATATGGAAGTAAATGAGTAAAAGTAGGATTATCTCTCCTATTAATTAAGGCAAAAAAAAAAAAAAATTAGAAAAAATAGGCTTACATGTGGTAAGCATTGGATGGGTTGGTGAGCAAAACCTATAGTTAGTGTGGGTGAGCAATAATATACCCAATATTGAAGGCATGGAGCATTTTCGCTCACCACCATAAACCTTGATGTATGCTCACCATACACCTGATCATTTGCCACGTGTCCTTTCACTTGACCTTGGTTAATTTTTTTTTTCAAAATTGAAAATATAATATTTAATGTGAAAGTTAATTGGAGTTAAGTGAAGAGACACATAACAAATGATTAAGTGTATAGTGACAAACATACACTATAATTATGATGATGAGCAAAAATACTCTCTTGAAGGCAACATCCAATAGGTGAATAGGGGATTGAGTGGTGGTGGTTGCTGGGTGAAGTCGTGGAGGTGAAAGGGTGGAGAGGTGGTTATGTTTTTAAAATAGGGATATTTTAGGAATAAGAATGGGTGGGAAGAGAGGATAATAGACAAAGATAGTAGACATTTGTAAATATATCGTTGCCTTAAAAAAACCTTTAAACTTTCTTACCGTCACGGCAGGCAACCGTACTCTTAACAGTGACTCCCTTCTCTTCTATTACAAGCCATTTTTGTAAGGTCAAGTTCCACGAACGAGCTCGTATTAATTTGTTATATAATTCTCTTATTTGGTTGTAACTAATAGACAAGATCACACCACATGCACATATCCCTTTTTTCCACTTAAATATTTGAAATACATGTCTCTAATGTAAGATAAATTTCGGTAAGATAGCCTATTAGGTCGTTTCCAACCGAATGAACTATGTGTAGCTCCCGTTCAGATTCAGACCATATTTATACACCATCTCCAACCGAAGTTAACTCTCTTAATAATTTATTATTTTAAATTTGTTCTTTAATTTTATTAGTTAATTAAATTAAACTATCATATTAAAATAAAATTTTCGAACATATTTTGAGTGTCACTTGAAGATGTGAAAAATTTATGGACCTAGCTTCTTTGCCCTCCCACTTCGCATACACTCCTATCCCCTCCTATTTGTGCGCTCACAGTTAAGTCACGTCAACATTTTATATTACTATTGCTTTTTGTCTTATTATCTCTATAAAAAAATCAATTTAAAATGTTGACGTGGCTTAACCGTGATAGCACAAAATAGGAAGGAATAAGAGTGTATGGAAAGTGGGATGGCAGAGAAGCCGGGTCCAAAAATTATACAATAGTACTGTATCACCAC